ACCCAAGGTGGTGGGTTCGAATCCAGCCTGGGCCTGCCAAACAACAATGACGGCTGCAACCAAAAAATAGCCAGGCATTGTGGCGGGTGCCTGTGGTCCCAGCTACTTGGGAGGCTGAGACAGGAGACTCGCTTGAGCCCAGGAGTTGAAGGTTGCTGTAAGCTATGATGCCATGGCACTCTACCAGGGAGAAAGCTTGAGGCTCTGTCTGAAAAAAAAAAAAAAAGAGAGAGATGTTGAAGTCATCACTGCCAGGACCTCAGAATGTGATTATATTAGGAGATAGGTTCCTTATTATAAAGTTAAAATGAGGTCATGATGATTGATGTCCTTCTGAAGAGGGGAAATTTGAGCACAGACATAGACACGCACAGAGAGAAGATGATGGGTAGACGGCTGTGTGATGACAGAGTCAGAGATCAGATGGATATAGCTGCAAGCTGAGGAGTACCAAAGTTTGCCGCCCACTGCTAGAAGCTGGGACAAGGCAAGGGAAGATTTTGCCCTGAGTCTCAGAAAGAGTGGGCCTGCCAACACTCTGATCTTGGATTTCCAGCCTCCAGAGTTGTGAAACACGAAATGCCTGTGTTTTAGCCTCCCAGGCTATGGTAGTCTGTTACAGTAGCTCTGGCAGACTAATACTACAGGTAAGGTGAAGCAGGTGAGGGTAGAAGGCTTATATAGGCAGGGACACAGGATCTGGAGAAGGGCCACCTGTCGGGTAAGTATTGCAACAGTTGGTGACAGGGCTGAGGGCCTGCCCAAACCAATGCCCACAATAGACTTGGAGGTGTAGCTGCCCTAGAAGGTCAGTGGCATCAAGGTCCAGTGATGAGGAAGAGGGAGGGGTTGGAGTCTGGCCTGAATGGCTGGGGGTTAGTGGGGGTCAGGGGAACATTGGTTTGGAGATGTCCACTGCGATCATGAACACAGGAAGAGCCGTGGGAGTAGGATTGAGGCCAGGGAGTCCACTTGGGGCCACCTGGACTTTAAAAGCATAGGGGGAGCTGTGCAGGTGGCAGTTGGACACATGGAACCAGATAGAACAGTTCTTCCCACATCTGGCTGCTTCCCACCTTTAGGACTCAGATCAAATGTCTCCTCCTCTCTGAAGCTTTTCTGCTTCTGGGCTAGTTACCTCCAAGTTATTCTCTGTCCCACGAGGGACTCTCTGTTTATACAGTATGTGCCATCTTTTTATTTGTTTACTTACTTGTTGGTAGTCTGTCTCACTCCCCTGGTCCATAAGTCCCTCACTTTTAGCCACTGGGTCTCCATTGTCCAGCATCTGCCATATGAAAGAATGAATGAAGAAAGCTGGCGATGTCAGCTGAGCTTTCAGATGCTGAGGCAACATTTGGGGTAAAAATGCTTGTCAGGGATCCACACCTGGGAAAGGAAGTGGGGGAGGCAGGGCGGGGCAGAGGGGAAAGCCCTGGCCCACCCGGAGCACAGGAAGAATGCTGCTCAGCAGAGTTCCCTGTTGGGTGCCAGGGCCCCTGAAGGAGCAGACAGCCCTGACCACTGCCCCACACCTGAAGGCAGCTCACCTTCATGGCCACTACGCCCAGGCTGGACCTACAGATCCCCAGCGTCATGGTCCAGGTGGCAGTGTGTTGAAACCAGGACAGTGAGCAGACGATGTTCATGCCAAAGGACACGTGCAGGGCAGACGCTGGGGGAGGGACGAGGGTGCGGCCCCTTCTAACTGCGAGGAATCTGGGGAAGCTCTTGGGAGGTGGTAAAATGTGAATTGAAGGGTTTGTTTGTGGCTGTATGAGGCTGGAGTAGAGACAGCCCTGGAAGGGGAGCTTCTGGATGTTTATGAGAAGGGATGTGCAGAGTTTAGCTGTGGCCCGGACACTCCTCAAGAAATGGGTGTCACCTGCAGGACCACAGAAGAGGCAGATCCCAGAGGATGGGCCAAGGACAGCCCATCATAGGACAGCCTTATTGCTGAAAACAAGCTCTTTTCCAGTAATGAAAAATTGCTTTTCTTTGTCTTTGAAGACAGAGTGGAGAACATGAGTAGGGCTGCTTAGGCAAGTGGAGCAGGGCAGCGGGCAGGGCGTGCAGCCAGGAGGCTGGGCTTCTGCAGAAAGCAATGTTACACAACTGTTCCAGAATCAAAGTCCAATTAAAGAAGAGAGAAGCAGAGTTCAAGGGGATGTGGGCATATGGCATCTCTTTATAAACTGCTGGGCAGGACAGAAAGGAAACCGGATCACAAGTCACCTAAGAAGTGACAGAAAAATCTGTTTCTACCAGTTTCCTAGAGGCAAAGTAGAACTTTCATCTTCCAAGAAAACCCCTGATGGTTGTCACAGTCACCCTCCAGGGTAGGAGCCAGAGCTGCTGGCATATTTTGTGCCTCTGATTACAGAAAAAGCAACAGCTATTTGCTGCTAAGGGTGGCACACATCTGCGTGGAGATCACACGGCCAGGCCTGACACTGCCTTTTCCCACTGGGGCTGCCTGGGCTAAGCAGTGGGGCTCAATCTCCTGCCGGTGGCAATCTAGGTCCCAGAGAGGCTTCTGCTACAGGGACACCCTTGTTACACCTGCCCACTTCTCCCTGCCCTCCGCTCCTCCAAGGCTCAACCCTGAAATACCAAAGAATCCCAAGACTTGGTGCACCCCGGATTATCACCTTAACTCCTTTGCTGGGTTTAAGTAAAGAGTTCAGTATGTGCCTGTATTTTTTTTCCTTTTATTAAATTTCTGAGTTTAGGGACTGTCTTAGTTCATCTTCTGTTGCTATAACGGGCCACGGAGCCAGAACTTGACAAAAGAGGTTTATTTCTTCTAGTCTGGGAAGTCCAAGATTGGGCAGCTATTCTGACTGGCATCTGGTGGGGCCTTGTGCTGTATCGTGATGTGGCAGAGGCATGACAGGGTGAGAGGGACATGTTGAGGGACAAACCTGCTTTTATCTAACCTCTTAGACCATTAACCCATGAATAGACTGATCTACTCATGACCTGGTCACCTCTTGAACGCCCCACCTTTTAAAACTATTACATTGGGGTTCAGTTTCAACATGAGTTTCAGAGGGGGCAAACATTTAAATTATAGCAGGGACCTCATTATCTATTTCAAGAGACTGTTTGACATAGAGAAACCATAGATGAATTATGAAACTTTCACTGGATTCCAAATATAAGGAGGTAGAGCTACTATACTTCCCTGGGGGAACCTGCCTGTGTGGAAGTTTGGGGGACTTTTGTTTAGCACTGTTTCCGTACGACCAAACAGTGCCAGGCACAGAGAAGGCAGTCAGCAAAAACTTGCAAGTGGATGAACGAATGAATGGTAGTGTAGGGCAGCCTTTATTCTCATTTAGGGATAGAAGACCGTGAACAGCTCAAAGCTGAAAGCCCTGAAATTGAAATGCATTCGAATTTCAAGAGGAGGAAAAGAATCTAAGATAGGACTTTCTCTTTGTTGCCACATGAAAATTGTAATTAAATAAGGATTAAGATAAGTATTTGTTCAGTGTCTGTACCACCACCACCACCACCGCCATGACTCTTATGACCATCTCTGTCATCACCACCACCAGCACCAGCACGAGCACCATCATCACCACGGCTATCACCATTACCACTGAAAGGCGGCCTTGCTAATGAACTAGCTAACAGAGAAAGATAAACTATCAAACAGAGAGTAAGAGAAATAAACTCACAGCACAACACAATTGTTTTTTTAAAGAAAAACTCACAGCACAGTTTCCCTTTGTTTTGTTGATTAAGCACCTGGGAACTCAGCGCTCTTTAGCTTAACTTGTTATCTCTAAGAGTTCATTTTCACAGCCTTGAAGAGCTCTAAGTGGATGGCTGGAGTGTGAGTTTCTCACTTCTCAAAGAGAAATGACTGCCAGCAGCCTCTTGTTAATCCGTCAACAGCCAAAAAAGAAAAAGAAAAAACCAATTCCTTTTATCAGTCAGCAGAGTGGAAAATAGGAAAAAGGCCAACACGGCAGCTTCACAACTGTCTCCTGCTAATTAGAATGTGGCCATGATTTTTCTTTTACCTTAATAAAACCCTGAAGCCACTTGACATCAGCACCCACAGACCTCTTTCACTCTTATGCTCTGTCCTTTTCCTAATTTCTTTGGGAAAAAGTAAACTTTATACATGTACTACTTTTTATCCTAAAACATCTTTATCTGGCTCAGCATCCGTAGCACAGGGGTTACAGTGCCAGCCACATATACCGAGGGTAGTGGGTTTGAACCAGCCTAGGTCAGCTTAGCAACAATGACAACTGCAACAGAAAAAATAGCCAGGCATTGTAGTGGGCGCCTGTAGTCCCAGCTACAGGGAACCTGAGGCACGAGAATCGCTGAAGCCCAAGAGCTGGACATTGCTGTGAGCTATGTTACTACAGCACTCTACCGAGGGTGACATAGTGAGACTCTGTCTTGGAAAAAAAAATATTTTTCCACTCTTACCATGAGCTCCTTGTGAGAGCCCACCCTGACAGCCACCACCTCTATAACCACTGTCACTGGCACTACCACCTCCATCCCACCACCAATACTGTCTCCGTTACCACCACCAGCACTAAACCTTCAGTACCACCATCACCGCCATTACCACATCCATCACCATCATCACCATCATTACCATCATCATCATCACCAGCACCTCTATCTGGCATCATGACCGCCACCACCATCATCACCACTGCTACCCTTACTACCACCACAGCAATCACCACCATCACCACCATCACTATTAGCACCACCATGAGCATCTCCATAACCACCGTTATTGCCACCATTGCAATCAGCATTAGCAGCTCTAGTGCCACGATCACCAGCACCACCATCATCTCCCCCGCTACCTTCTCCCTCCGGAGGAAGTCATATCTACATTAGATTTTGAAGCTAGATAAGAATTTCTCAGGTGATAAGCTCACCGAAATCTGCTTAACAAAGATTAAAATGTGTATATTGTTGCTGAAATAACTGCTCTGGCTTTTAATATGGTGCAGGCATGGATCCCATGAAGGAACAACGCCAAAACCCAAGAGGACAGCTGTTGCAGCATCCAGTTCATCTTACGAATTTCAACAAGTAGTCATGCAATAAATGTTTTGGTTTTCAAAAATCTAAAAAAAGAAAAAAAAGAATTTCTCAGATGGACAAGAAACAGGTATGACAAGCCCAAGTGCCAGCTCGTGTAAAGACAGGAAGGACTTGTTTGGGGTGGAGAAGGCTCAGGATTTGGGCTCTTCCATAGTGTAGAGCTAGCAGAGGCTGAACAAGTGTGTAGACTGAGGGTCTGGGGAGTGGCAGGCAATCTACCACAATCACAGTGTTCTTAACTGTTCTAGTTAACAAACTTGGATTTTCTGTCATAGGCAGGTGGTTTTGGTGAGGGAAATCACACTTATTCATCTATATACTTATTCATTAATTTATTTGACAGGTATCTATTGCCTGATGATCAAGTTTCAAGAGATACAAGGGAGACACCCAAGAAAAAACCCACAAAATCTGTTTAAATGATCTCATACATGCTGACAATAAATCTAGGAGATTGTGAGTTTATATCTATTTCATTATTACTGGTAAAAATAGCTTAAAAGCCCCAAAGAATATTTATATAATTAATGTTCATGATGGTCCTGTCTGGGATGTATGAAGTTTGGAGAGGCCAAATGCCCCAGACATATTCAGCTAACCAGGCTACATCCGGAATTCAAAGCCAGGCCACTGGGATGTCAAAACCCCTGACCTTTCCCTTTCGAAGTGCTATCTGCAAAAGCAGGAAACTGTGATGCCACACAAAGACTGTCAGGTGGGTGATGAGGACTGGGATATTTTGGACATTTAATTTGACGTACTTGCTTGAGGACAATGCTTTCATGCGCCTTTCTTTGTACCCTTGATTAAATGCAGGGAGTAATGACAAAGTTCTCTCTTTCCAGTATTTTCCCATTTCACCTTGAGAACACCTTGGGCTCCCCAGGAAATTTGCCATGTACAGTTGCCCTTGGCTGCCCCAGCCCAGGGCTGTGGAGGCTCTAAACACACTCCTGGGGAAGTTTCATCCTTGTATGTTTCGGTGCAGACTTTCAGCCTGAACGGTCTCTGGGACGCTGGAAGTGTGTGAAGGCTCCTTGGATAGTCCTCACTAGCTTCCTGCCCGATGTCTTACTGGCATCAGAAGGGACCACACAGGACAAGGAAAAGCACTGGAAACCGGTTTCTTCACCTGAACCTGAGCAGGCGCCACACCAGAACAGAACTCACAGGCCCAGTCTGTTGGGCATTCTTCTTGGCGTCTGAGAAATCATTCATTGTCGGGGAGAAAAAAGAAAGCTTCTAGTTCTAAGGAAGGGGGCCAGGGAAAGAATGGAAACAATTTCCAGTCCAATATATCAAAGAATATAGGGAATAATTCCACACCCAGGTATGTAGGCATCCCTATGTGCCAAGCACCCAGATACTCAGCCACCCTGGAGCGAGGGTGAGCAGTATTACCCCCTGAGTCCAGCATTAGCTCCATATACAGGAGACCATGCTGGTACACAGTCGGTGCCAAATGCATGCTTGTAAATGAGTAAGTGATGCATGAAGGTTAAAGGAGGATTTAGTCAGAAATCTAGGAGGCATCTCTTATAGGAAGGAATCCAGGGAAGCTGCCCTTTTTGCTTTGAGGAGACAGATGGTGAGAGATAGGATGGTGCTATTCTGGAAAATTCTGCAAAATACACACATGGATTGCTCCACTGTGCCTCCTTTCATGATGTGCACTGCCGGGGATGCTAGCTATATTAAATGTTATCCCAGTGCTCTGATGCCAGAGACAGAGGGGACACACAGGTAACGCACACAGGTGTCTGTGCTGAGGACTGCCCTTGGCTACTCCACCCAGAGCACCTTGTGTTACACCTGTAGAGGGTGACTTCATTGATACTTATGGTCAGCAGAGTCACTGCTCTGCTCCTCCCTCCCCTGCATTACCCCAATTTTATTATTTTAATATATGTGCACATAATAGCAGGGGTGACACATATAGTTTTATCCTTCCTATTCTTCCAATAGAAACTGCCCCACCCCAGCTGCCTGTAGGAGTGGCCATTTTATCACCCGTCCTGCCCTCTGTGTCCAGAGGTGTTTGCCCCAGAGAGGGACACCTAGACCAGGCAGGGCGTGTCTGGGCCCTGTAATTAGAGGCTGGGTTCAGGGAGAGCAAAGGCAACACGTCTAGGTGACAGAGACTGTAAGATATAAACCATGGAAAATGTAGGGGGTGACAGTCCAAGCCAGGTGTGTCAGTGCAGCTAAGAAGGGACCGCACTTTGCAGAACTCTGCCCCGCGTGGTTCCAGGTAAAGGTTGACCATGAAAGAAATGTAAGTCTGGTTTAGAAAGTGGAAGTTAAGGGGCAGTCAGGACGCTCCGAGGTGCGTGGGGGGTGCCAGGCCTGTTCCCCTTCATCTGTCTGTGTCCCTGGAGGCTGTGAGGCAGCGTCTGTGCCAATGGCGCCTCCTCCCTTCATTCCTCCTGATCCCAGGCCAAGTGAGGGGCACCAGTGCCTTCCTCAGGTGGTTGAGTCAGCCAGGCTGGAGAGGACAGCCTGGGCTCTGGCTTGACCTCTGGCTGCCCTCAGGCCTCACCCAGCTTCATCTCATGCCCAAGTTTTCTTCCCTCCTCCCACCCTGCTGACCCACAAAGGGCCTGGCAGACCACCGTGCCTGGGATAACAGCTGGTCACAGACGTCTCCCCAGTTCCACTGCCCCGCCTGATCCCTGCAGTAACCTGCATGTCACACCATGCCTTACGGCTTGGCTGCCCTGGAAGAAACCCGGCTCACGGGGGAAAGAGCAGGCACATACAGAGTGACTTTATCCAAATTCTGCAGATGAGTGAAGAGAGCCTCTGGGAAGCGCAGAACTTCCTAGGGCTGGGGTAACTGGCCTGGTTGGTGTTCCAACCAGGTGGGTTGACTCCAAAGCCACACATCTCCTGTGCTCCAGCACCCAGCCGACATGGGCTGTGGGTGCGAGCACTTGCCATACGCACAGTCCCCATGCCTTGGGGCCCTGTCTGCCCACAGCAGACGCTGCTTGAGCCCCTGCTCCACGCAGGCCCGTGCAGGGGCTCAGGGACGGCAGGGCACAAGCTAGGTTCTGTGCCCAAAGAGCTGGAACCCAGTGGTTAAAGACCAGAAATGCAGAAACTGGCAAACTGGGAAAATAAAATCATCACAGGAGCAGGGAGGGCTGTGAATAAGGTACGGGGCCTGGGTGTGATTGGGAGGAGCTCGGGGTCCCCTCTAAGCTCAAGCAGAACCTCTCCAAGGTGACAATGGGCAGAGACCCACAGGACGGTGAAAGAACATGGAAGGAGAAGGAACAAGGGTGGGCGAAGAAGAATGTGAGGGAAAGACACAGTCCGTCTTATATTTAGTTCCTCCTCATCCTGTTTATGGGGAGAATAAATAAAAATAATAATTAATAAAAATATTGAAAAAATCTCTACTGATAACACAGAACAGGACAAAGTGTGGGCTGCAGTAGTGGTGGTGAGGCGGGAGGGACTCATTTCAGTTGAGGGTGGGCAGGGAGCATGCGTGAAGGGCGGGTGGGGGAAGGGCACCCAAGCTGGCCAGGAGTTGGGGCGGGGAGTGGGGGGTCTCCTCTGACAGGTAGTAGTGGCCTGAAGGTTTCTCCAGGGAGGTTTGAGCATAATCCCAGGGCGGGAGCTTATGTGGACTATGGGGGAAAATGGCAAGTGGTCTATTGTTTTTGGAGATTAGAAGCTTGAAGAGGGTCTTCAAGCTGGAGAGGGAGGTTAAGACCAGATGGCAGGCGGCCTTCCACGAAGAATTAAGAAGGCTCCTTCAGTGGGCAGTGAGGAGCCATGGGGGGCTTTTGAGCAGGAGAGTGACCCAATTAGAGTTACATTGGTGAAAACTCCTCTTGGCGGTCTGGGTCAGACACGGGAGGGACTGGAAGTAGGCCTGGTGGTCAGGAGGATGTTAGTTGAACTCAGGAAAGAGGCTAGAAGGATGGAGCAGGAAGTAGGGGACAGAGTGAGTGAAGGCGCTTGTTGGTACCTCTGTAGACCTAGGGCTGCAGGGAGCGGAGCAGAGGATGCAGGAGGGTTTGGTAACCTCCTCCAGGGAAGGTCATGCAGAGACTCTGGGTCCTACTTGCTCTGTGTCCCCTTCTCCAAGAAGCCTTCTGGGACCAGCCAGACAGCCCGGAGCTTCCTGACACTGGCTCTGCTAAGTCTAGCCTACACGGTGCCTCTTGTGTTTCTGCTTCCCTTTCTGCCCATGACTTGTCACCTCCCCTTGATTGTCTGTTCCACAGAATCTTTCTTCTGTACATCCCCCAGGCATGTCACCATTAGCCTGGGCATTGTAACCGCAGCCTTGGGAGTGCACAGGGACAATCACTCCAGCCCAAGCCAATCCCGATCCTGGTATCCTACTTAGTCACCAACTCAGGGCATGTGGCTTACGGCTTGGCCTCCTTTGCTGGACAGGGAGCATCATTTCTCAGCCACAGTGAGTTTCCTCAGTCCGTGGAACCCTCCTCTGTCTTGAGGTCCTGAGTTGCTGCTTCCTTTCCCACTGGGTTTGCAAACCTGTCCTGACATCCAGCCCACCTCTGGGCTGCCTCCTCCCCCTTCTCCCCATGAGCTGGACTCTGCCCTGTGCCCAGTTGCCACAGGAGCCTTGATGCAAATGACTGGGCTGAAAGTTCCACAGCCTGCTTAACTCTGGCCACCAACTACCACCAGCTCAGAATTCCCTCAGCCCTGTATCTCCCATGGTCCCCTAGATACCTGTGTTGTCGAGGTCAAGCCCCAGGGAACAGCTACAGGCTCAGAGAGCATCCATCTTCACCTTCAGGAACCTCCCTGGACTCCTACAGGGACTCAAATTGCATCTAACCCCAACCCACACCCAATGCCCAAATCAAGCCCTTTAAAGTCACCTCCAAAGATCCACTCAGGTCCCCACCCTCCCCTACCCCTGCCCAGTTGGATGCTTCCTGAACTGAGTTTTAAGATTGTTCCCCTACCTCCACCAGCCATAACTGGGAGCTGAGTCACAGCCATCAGGGGTAGCTGAGAGTGCCTGCCTGGTAGTCTGGCGTCCAGCTCTGGCCACGTGCCTATAGACTGGCATGCCCAAGGTTGCAGGAGTGTGCCAGGTGGGAGACAGCTAGGTTGGAAGGAGGGGTGGGTGTGGACACATCTGTGGAAATGCTCTGCCTTCTGTGGCTCCAGCTTTTGGGGGTTGATGCCCCAAACAACTATCTCTGCCATCAGTGTCATCATGAAATAATAATTACAATTACATGATAATACTAAAAATAATAATTGAAAATAACAAAACAATGAAATCAGCTGCTACAGAGTGTCTGTGTATGCCAGGCACAGTCCCAGGGCTTTGCATGGATTCTCTCATTTAGCCTGATTGCTCCTTGTTACAGGTGGGCCATGCGAGGCACAGAGACATGCTGAGACCTGGGGCAGCACCTAGAGTCCAGCCCTGCACCACGCTGCTATTCTCAAACCTATACTCCTTCTCAGGCTGTGAGTCCCCCAGAAAGCCACTGGATTCACCTGCAGCCTGCTTATTCAAGGAAGGAGATCATGTCTGGCCTTGAAAAGTGACACAGAGGGGCTGACTGACTGAAGTCCCCGCTGGTCACTTGACCAGCTGGAAACCTGACTGGAGGATGTTGACGGATGTGTGGTATTTAGGTTTTACTCTAACACCACAGGTTACAAGATGAGCACCCAGTAATTCTTTGAAAATTTATCCCAGAATGAAAGAAAGTGAAAGTTATTGGTGAAGTCCGTGGGGACCCCTGCAAAATTCCAAAGCCACGGAGTGGCCTGTGCTTGGGAGGTTGCAGTCGACACCGCACCTCTTACAATCATTCCTTCCATCCATCCTCCCAGTTGGTGTCTCAAGCATTTTCTCAATGTTATGGGTGAAGAGACCAAGATCTTGAGAGATGAATTAACTTGAGGAGGGTGGCACAGTTCAGGGGTAGCAGACATGGAGCCTGAACCCAGATTTTCT